ACCAGAGAGTGATGTCTTGGCCAGATATGCACCACTTGTGTGGTAGGAGGTCTTCATACTGCAGTATTGCTCTCCCTTGTTTGTGGTTTCCAAGTGATAAAAGCATAGCACATATATCTGAGCACAGTTTATAATACTTGATGATGATAATTGATTATATTTGCATATTTATGTTTACTATATTGTCTTACCTCAACCCCCAGTTTTGGGATCTAACCAGGACCGTGTACATGCTGGGCAAGCACTTGACCACTGAGCTTTATGACTTATACGTTTATAGCACTGGGGATATAGCCTGGGATAGAGTGTTTGCCTAGCATGTTCAAAGCCCTGGCATTGGTTTCTAGCACTGAACAAAAGCAAACACCAAACTGTAAAAGCACACCATATTATGCCAGCAGTAACCCCCATATGTTTCCTGTCTATGGGTTGTGCAAGAGACCACACTGATGGATGGTCATTGCACACTGTCATGTAAATATGCACTCTCCTCTCGCAGTCCCACCTAACATACACTTTTCAGACAGCATCTCCATTGATAACGACACATGTCTGTACTTCAGTGATAGCGTGAGAATAGACAGTTACTAAGCGGTTTGAAAATTAATATTTAATGTGAGACTTGATATGAAATATAGATAATTTTATTATTCATAGTTTAATGTGTGCTTTGTGTGTGGGGGGCACACGTGAGTTTTTTGGTTTGTTCACTAATGCACTACAGACGGAAGCAGATGAGTCTGTATTCAGCAGTTAGTTTGCCATTTTCTGGTTGTTCTTTGGACATGTCCATGTTTGACCAATCTAATACTGACATTTTAATCTTAACATTAAATTCCTATGAAAGAATGAAAGATTTATTATGGGTCCGGAGCATCTGAATTGTGAAATAATGGTTTCCTTTAAACATTTCTACGGTGGTAAAACTGAAGGAAGAAAAGGCATTTTCCTTCTATCTTTTCCTGTACCTGTCTCTTGTGTGCAGATCGTTTGAAAGAATAGCATGGCAACATAAATCCAGTGTCTTAATGAGAAACCACACTGATGCTGAGAAGCAAACAGATAACCTGAAGCCAGACAATGAAATTTACATAGCCCTCCCTTGGTAGAGTCGTCTTCCTGCATTGCTGAGAACACAATCTGTCAATAACGTGTTGTTTGGTTACAAGACAACAACCGCTTTGTTTTCAGCTCTAATTCAGAACCTTGATCATAATCTACATGAAGCTAGCTATCTGGGCTCATGCCTATAACACACCAAGAGGGAGAAGAAGCATTTCTCTTCCTTCTAACATTGCGTCATTTCTCTCGATTTGATATGCTGTCTTTCTGCAGTGAGTCCTATCTGTGTGGTTTATGTAAGTAAGTGATGCAGCACTCGAATTGCAAAGAAAAGCACAACACAAATCTACGCATATAACCTTTTTGTACAAGGTAGATTTGAATCCTGTAACTAAACGCTTGCACTCATTAAGGCTAGTGAACTTTGTTATTCAGCCTTTCATCCCTCTCACTGGGAAGTATTACAGTGTTATAATTTGTATTCTCTACAAGGCAGACTAGTTTATAGTGACTTTATGTAAACAGACATAAATGATCGTCGCTGCTATAAGACAGGAAATATTTTTCCCCTGATGCGATGCACTGAAGTGACCAGGCAAAGACAAATAGGGAGACTGTGTGTGGAGAGTGAATAGAAGCTAAACGTGAGTAAAACAGACAGGAGGATCCTAACCTAGCAGAAGCTGAGGACAGTTACTTTTTAGAAGTGTTTGTAAAAGTCATTATTGCTTTATCCCCAAGGAGAAAGTCTAATTCTCTTCAGTTTGGTCTCATGGAGGAGCTGTCAGGGCAGTGAGCTGTGGTTCCCAGTCAGCCCATGGTCAAAGATCAACAACTAACCACTCTGTGACTTGTCCTGTTAAGTGGTGACATTTGATAGGTTAGGGCTATTAACTGTATTTTAAATTTCAGTGATTAAAGCTTATGTTGAGCTTATTGAAATGGTTCAATCCATAGGTATTTGTCCTCGGAATCTTAGGAGTGAAACCTGCCTGCATCATGTCTCAGTAGACGGTTACCCGTACCTTAATGCAGATGGAAACACAGGTTCAGTTTGGATTGTTAGATTGGTGTTTTATGATTGAGGGACCTGATGGCAGTCAGCTCTGAGTTGCGGTACCATAATGTTGGTAAATTAAAGGCAGAGCTGGACAGTAATTAAAGCAATATAAACAGGTTTTCTTTAGGAACTACTAGAGGAGAGAGAATGTAGTCGAGAATGAGGAGAGAGAATATTATAGAACCGGGCGCAGCATCAGCAAGTGATGATCTATAGCCAAAGAGTAAGTGGGTCAGTGGATGTGAAGTTAAGGGAAAGAGACCTTAAGGGTGTGGCCTGGATTGGGAAAGATGAGAGTGAAGTCAGACCCTTTGTAAGTTACCTCACTCATTACAAAGCCTGGCATCTCCAGCTACCTGATATTTGCTGGGTTGTTTCATAACAAACCTTATGGGGGAGCAAATGACAACTCTGCCATATTGGTGTGCCCTGTGCTCACTAATGTGGATGAAACTTAGACCTGTACTGCACACTCAGGTTTTCAGTTTATTGCCCATTGCTTCCATCTATGTAATACTTTTAGTGTTATGCTTAGTAATTTCACATGAAAATTTGCTCAAGAACTTTTTCTTCAAGCTTTCCAGAATATGCATTTTATCTAAAAGAAGCATGGAAATAAAGTATGACCTTTTATAGACGTTTTATTCTGACTGTTAGATTCAAAACTCTGAAGATGCCCTTTGGAAATGACTCGTTATGTGTGCTCTGTGGCTTTTCAAGACTTAGCAAGTATTGCCTGGGTGTCATGGAAGAACATTTGATGTGCTCTGTGAACCACTTACAGCTTCTGAGAATTTAGTTTTGAAGGCTTGTGAGATTACTGAGTAGTAAAAGCAGGGCATAGTCTAAGATTTTTCTCCTATTATTTAAAGGCTCTTATGATCTGCCATTTGTTGTAGTATGACAGTTATTTTAGAAACTTGGTTTTCGTTCTCATAGTTTTTCATTTTTGTTTTGTTTTCTTTTTCTAGACAGGGTTTCTCTGTGTAACAGTCCTAGTTGTCCTGGAACTCACAGAGAGCCACTTGTCTCTGCCTCCTATGTTGTAATTAAAGGCATGCACCATCATGCCCGGCTATTCTCATAGTTTTTACTGAAATAATTAGGTGAGAAATTTACCTTAATTTACACTCCTCCATCAAGTTGGATTTTACCTAATATTCTGTCACATCGAATATCTTTTAATCAAACATATTATCAATGGTACATTGTCTGCCTTTGCTTGACCAATGAGTTATAGGCATCACCTAATATAGGAATTAGAAAATTACCAAACATCAGGCCCTGAAAACATTTGATGGGGGCATGAAAATAGGATAATGCCCTTTCAAATGCTGTAGTAGACCAAGGAGTTCTTCCACGTGCAGTGAGTTTATTTTCTTGCATATTGGTGTAGTGCTGGATAGCCCAGGAGCAACTGACCGCCAAACTGATCAGTACACAGCAGACACTAACAAGCCATAAGATAAACACAGGCAAGTGTAATGGAAACCAAATATGCAGTGATGAGAACTATCCTAGAGGAGTATCGGGGTGCATAGGGAAATGCCACTGAGGTGTGGAAGAAGAGTCAGCTCGCAACTCTGGCCTCCAAGATGAAGTATCTTTTGAAAGAAAGAAGTTACAACCTAAAATGATATATTGGAACCTATGATTTTGAATATCTTATTATTGAGGAAGAGCAGTATTATGGAAAGAACTTGGATTTTGGAACCAGACTTTTCCAATTTCGCATGCTTTTCAACTCCGCTATTTATTTAATGTCTGAGTTATATTACATTGCCTCATTTCTTTGAACTTTAGTTTCCTCTTGTGTACCATCATCATAGGGAGACCTGTTATTTGAAATGATCAAATGGGATTGCACTTTTGAAAGCACCCAACAGTATGCCTGGTGGTACCTAAGTGCCTTTCAGTGAGTGCTAAGTCCCTCTTCCACCTCTTATCCTATTCATTCTAAAGTCCCTTCCACACCATTATCTTGTTTTATGAACACCACGGCAGGGATTACAGGGAGGCACCTGTAGTGGCTCATCCACTCATCAGACATTTGCTGACAGCTTGCTTCCCGGAGTGGAAATGCAGAGGATGGCATTCAGTATTTTAAGAGGCACTTCATAAGTAGAGTGAGTTAGGATGTAGAATTTAAAGGACAGTTTAGGAGGAGGACAGAGAGGCTAGACTGGTTTCCACCTAGTATAGTTTCTGAAATCAAATCAAGGAGGGAAAATTGATTATTTTCTGCAACAGATTATTCTCACCATTAATCAGTAAGCAGTTGACCCTTCATGGCTTTGGGCTTTCATATCCTTAGACTCAGTGAACCTCAGATTGAAGTGTTTGGGGAAATTATTGTGTCTGTACTAACCACACATAGATGTTTCTATTGCTATTATTCCCAATGACAGTGCCACAGCTATTCCCATAGCATCTAAATTGTATTACTTATTATAAATAATTTGAAGATCATTTAAAGTAGATGGGAGGCATAATAAGTTAAATACAAATATTATACTCAGTTTTGAGCTATTGGACATTGACTTGTAGATTCTAATTATCACTGGGATTGCTGGAACAATGCCCATTAGATACCAGAGGCGGGGATGATTATAACCTTTACTTTCTCCTATCTAAGACGATTTTTATTGTTTCTTTAAAAAGTTTGTTTAGTGTGCTGCAGAGACAAGTAGGTAGGACATTAATAGGAAAACCTTGCTTCCGTGTGTGTATGTGTGTTACATTTGTGTCACAGAAACCCAGGAGATACATAGATTATGCATGTCCATGATCACTGAATCCCTTAGTTTGATCCTAGCTGGTGCTGATGCTATTACTGTATTGACTGACTTGGTCTCTTTTTTTTTTTTTCTTTTCTCAGTTTGATAAGGGTTACTCTTACAATATCCGGCACAGCTTTGGAAAGGAAGGCAAGAGGACAGACTATACGCCTTTCAGTTGCATGAAGATTATCCTGACCAATCCTCCAGGCCAAGGGGATTATCATGGTAAGTGCTTGTGCTGGATGCTTGGGAATGACTTTTCGAATTGCTGAAGGACCTAGCTTGTGGTAGCTCCTGTCTGTGTGTGTGTCAAGTTGGAGCGTCGTGACAGTGATCTGTCTTATTACTGAGCCCACTCAGCCATGGTCAGCTTGTGCCGGATCAGGCTTCCCGTTCTCTTTCATCCACTGTTCTATATCTCGTGTTCTGCAAAGGTCTTAGAAGATAAGAGTGTTTTAGAGCTGTTTGTGCTTTTTATTAATGTTCAAAAAGCCATGTGTGGAGGAGCAGTGTATTAGTTTTCTTACTCCTGTCATCTATCTGATTAACAGAGATTAAATGAGCAGTTTAACAAGTCCCAGTGTTAAATTTATGTCAGTTTGGTTGAGTTGTTCACACACACACACACACACACACACACACACACACACACACACACACGCTATAGTAAATTTTAATTTCTAAATTAGGCATAGCAAGAGATTAACAATAATAGAATAATTATAGTGACGTACTATAATAATAACGTATTAATGTACTGTCCTTGCTTTTATTTGATATGAGCTGATACGGTATATTTTGGTATCAATATTTTGGAGGCCAGCATGATAGATGTAATCATTGTGATATAGTATTGGGAATATCATGTCAGGTGACCCTAGGCCAGGCGAGCTCTGATGCTCTGAATGGGTGGATGTTATGACCAGGTGATAGAAATGTTTGCAAAGACTCAGTATTTGGTAGGTTTTCATCTTTTTTTTCTGTTGGAGAACATTTTGTGTGTGTGTGTGTGTGTGTGTGTGTGAAAACTATAATAATAAATTATCTCTTATTAGTTTGTCAGATTACTACCCCAGCATTGTGATTCTTTAGAGGTCATCTGGGAGCTCTTAACTATGTGTTTCCTGAGGATTTCATTCCATCCCTTGTCCTTTTATAACTTTAAAACCTGGTATGGTAGCACAGAGCCTGTAGTCTGATGTAGTAGATTCCCCTCTGTATGTTCTGTTACCATTGGTTAATAAAGAAACTGCTTTGGACTGTGTCAGGGCAGAATAGAGCTAGGCAGAAAAACTAAGCTGAATGCAGGGAGAGAGAAGGCAGAGTCAGGGAGGTGCCATGTAGCTGCCAGAGGAGAGAGATGTGGAACCTTACCGGTAGGCCACAACCTCATGGTGATACATAGATTAATAATGTGTTAATTTAAGATGTAATAGTTAGTTAATAAGAAGCCTAAATAATTTCTGGAATGTTCCACTGCTGATTCTGCCTCAATTTTCTGTCCATTTCCCTATATAGGGGTCTCAACAAGTTTCTTCAATTGTGTGTTTGTTACCCAATGTTTTCTCCAGTCCTTCATCAGCATGTTAGCAAATTCATACCAACTTGTATTTCAATGCAAGTAGCTTTCCCTATTCCTTTACTGTTCCCAGGAAGCTTTTAAAGTCATTCATGGCTTCATGCTGTAAATTCTTCCATCAGGCATTTTTAGTTCTGGTTTTCAGTGTAGCTTCACAGGAGCTCAACATTTCCTACATTGTACCATGTCTAGGTTAGGACCTGTATCAGTACTGATTTAATGCAATTAAACCAGGCAAGTTTTTATGGCCTTGACAAATCAGATGGTGCTCTGATCAAGGAGCTCAAGTAGTGGACTCAATTTAGGAAATAATAAAAATACAACTTCAATCTTGCATTTCCATAATAAGCCAACTCAGGATGGTCAGGAATATTGTCTTTCATCAAGAAGACCTTAAATTTCAACCTTTCTTGCAAGTATTTTTTATTTCTTGGAGGAATTATTGGTCAGAACTTTTTATTAACAAGGTGGCTGTCACCCTGACTCAGATCATCTTGCCAGAACAAGAGCAGATTATTTTGGGTTTTGAAACCTCATGACTTCTTGACACCATGCTTGATTTTGTCACATGCCCGGTACTGTTGCTGCTAGAGGTGGTCTGTCTTCCCTTGTACTGTGCTCTGGTGCTTCCTGAGCACCTCACGAGTGCTGGTTTATTGTCCATCATCTGCTGGAAGAGCCTGCTTTCATCCTCCCTGAAGGTTTACTTTAGATGGCATCTTTTCTCCTTAATCAGCTTCCCAACCTCTTAGGAATGTGGCAGTAGCTTCCTCAGAATGTGTAGCCTGCCTAGTGATTTTTTTTTCATTTAAACTCTGTTTCTGGGTTGGCTTAGTTGTAGACCTACTACATGCAAGACCTTTTGTTTGATCCAGAGCTCCATATCAAAGAAGCAAAACAAGACAGAACAACTCTATTCCTGAATCTCTATAAAAACTGCTTACCATACATGGCTTGTCACTCTTTAAGGATCCTTACTGATGTGTACACTCGCAAACTCAGTGCTTTCGACAGCCCCACAACACCTTTTGTGTTCACTCTTTCCCATCCACAAGTTCATGTCTTTGCCATCTTAACTAAACAATTGTCTCATATTGTGCCTGATTCGTTTGCAATTCCATGTGCTAAGGAGAGCCAGTAATAAGTTTCTTCTTTCTTTTTGATCATTTCATGAGTAGGAAATTTGTTCTGCCATAGTATCTTAACAACTTTGGCCTCCTTCCCCACTTCCTTAACTTTTTACTTACAGTAAGTTTTGTTTGTTTGCTTGTTTGTTTGCATACCTAGATTGCCATAGGCAGTACTCTTGTGCTATAATCTAAATGCAGAACTGTGTTATCATGATAGAACTGTGATATCATTGTTATAACTAAGACTAAGTGACCAACAGGCAATCATTGTGTTCAGCATATACACATCAGACATCCTACAATTTCTGCCACACTACTCATGGTGCTGCACAGATGAAACACCTGTGTAAAATTCCATTTGGATATTTTTGATCTTGAATAATAGAAACCACAGAAAGTAAAGCCTCACATATGGGTGGATTCCTGTACTGTTCTTCACAAACACTTGATGAACTGAATTGTCTGATGCACACATTTACCAATCCCCCCCTCACATACGCACACACACACACACACACACACACACACACACACACACACGCATGCACACAGGTCAATTGTTTTAAAATTTTAAACTTCATTAGATTCACAGGAAGACTGAAAAGAAAGTGCTCCCATGTTTCCTCATCCTCACACATGATGACCTCCTCCATTCTCAGTATCTTCTGGCACAGTGACTGGTTACTACATGTTGCTATTGCTCAAAGCCTGTAGCTGAGATTGGGGTTCACTCTTGGTGTCTATAGTCTATGTGTGGACAAATTTATGGTACTATATATATTGTAGAGAATAAGTTTACTGCCTGATAATTTTCTGTGCATCTCTCTTTCCCCAAGTCTGTGACATCCACATTTTTGACTTTGTGAACATCAGTATGTTTCCTTTATGTTTATTTTCAAAATATTCTGTCTATAAAAAATATGAAAATTTTACCCATTTCACATTTAATCATGGGTCTTTCTCTTAAGTCTAGATAGCTAACTCTTAACTGTTTGCCTCACGTTTTTAAACTTGACATTATTTTCTGTTATTAACTAGTCTCTGGAAGATTATTTTAATTTACTTCATAATATATTCTTTAAAAGTAATTTTTAAATCACTTCCCTATTTTTGGACTGTTGCTTGTGTCTATGGTTGTGTTGATATATGTATGTGTCTCTGATATATACATGTGTGCATGTGTGTGTTAATGGAGGCCAAAAGTTGATGTTAGGTGCCTTTCTCTATTGTTCTCTGCCTTTATTTTTAGACATAGCTTCTCATCGAAGGTAGTCCTGCTGTTTGAGCTGGGCAGAGGCCACTTTTGATTTCCAAGTGGAGGCTGGGTGGAAATCTGGTAATAGTCCATTATCTGGATATATCACAGGTTATTTTTTTTCACTTATTAAAGAACATTGTCTTAGTTAGAGTTTTATTGCTGTGAAGAGACAGTGTGGCCACAGTAGCTCTCTTATGAAGGAAAACATTTTATTGAGGTGGCAGCTTACAATTTATAGGTTCAATCCATTATCATTATGGTGGAGAGCATGGCAGCTTGCAGACAGACGGTGCTGGCCACATCTTGATTGTAAGGCAACAGGAAAGGGACTGTGGCACGGAGTGAAGTTCAAACATAGGAGATCTCAAAGCCTGGCCCCAGAGTGACACATTTCCTTCAACAAGACCACGCCTACTTCAGCAGTGCCACACCTCTCAATAGTGCCACTCCCTATGAGCTTACTGGGGCCAATTACATTCAAACTACCACAAACATCTTAATTGTTTCCATCAAGTTGCTTTAAATATTAAGTGACACAGAATGTGGTCGGGTTTTGAACAGACTCTATGACTGCTTTCTGGAATTTCTGTTCTGTTTCTGCTGGGTAGAATAATTTGTTGAGACTTGATATGCATTTGGTGTATAATGTTTAATCTGAAGCTTCTATGCTGATTTTTGGGTTTGGTGATATATCTAGAGGTGAAAGTGGGGAACCAGTTTTTTGTTGTTTTTTTTTTTTTTGATCTGCTTGACCTTTATGTTCATTAGTGTTTGTGTATGAAATTGTGAAGCTCAACATTTGGTGCATATATATTTACAATTGTATCTTCTTGATGAGTTATTCCCTTCATTAATATGCAGTGGCCTCACTCGTCTCTTCTGACTACTTCTGGTTTGACATCTTCTTTTTCAGATATTTTCAGAATAGCTAAGCCAGCTTGTTTTCCATTTCTGTTTGCTTGATAGATATTTCCCATCATGGCACTGACAGTATTGTACCCGTAAGATGTGTGTCTTAGAGACAACAGAGAGGAAACTCTTTCAGTTAGGTTTTCTATTGCTGTGAAGAGACATGGTCATGATGACCACGACAACTCTTACAACAGAAAACACCTAGTTGAGATGGCTTAGATGATTAGTCCATTATCATGGCGGGACATGGAGGTGTGCAGCAGACATGGTGCTGGAACTGATAGTGCTATGTCTTGCAAGCAACAGGAAGTAGACTGAGTGTTACACTGAGCAAAGCTTGAGCAATAGAGACCTCAAAACCTGCCCCCACAGTGACACACTTCCTCCATCAAAGCCACACTTATTTCCACCAAACCACATCTCCTAATAGTGTCCCTCCCATTGGGGTCCATTTTCCTTTAAACCACCATAGAAATCCTTCTTAATGTGTATAGTGTTTTTAATCTGTAGCTTTAAAAAGTGCTTAGGTTTCATATCTCTCTGCATATTCTAACATCTGTTCTTTTTTCTAGCCTATGTATGTACTTGGCCTCTTCATTCCAGCATCCTTGCTGTTATAATTCTGTATTGTTTGTTTAGCATTTTTACACTGAACTTCTCCAGTGTTTTGCTGACTTTATCTCCTTGAATGAGATAAACTTGCTGGAAACCCCCCTTTTCCGAGAATTTCAGGCTGTAATAGACTCAACAGGGCTCTGCTCAGGTAGTCTCTTCTGGAGAATAGATGTGCTAGTATATTTAGTCTTTCCCTTCCCTCTACAGAAGCTTGATTTATTTATTCATTTGTGTTTATTTAAATGATAAACACTGTGAGATGCTGGTAGATTTTCTGATGTGAAACTCAAAAAAAGTGTAAGCACTCAGCCCCTTGAACTTCTCTTAGATGCATGCACACTGAGGCTCCAGATGGGCTTGCCCAGGGCACTGGCTGTGACAGAGGTTTTGCCCAGGGATTTCTCTTCTGGTCAGGTATAAATCTCTGCATTTACCTGCTTCGCAAAATTTGCCTTGAGATCCTATTTCTATGTTGTTGATTTTTCAATTAAAATTTGAATTTATTCAATTCAATTATCTCTCTGGTTTTTATTTCAAATAACTCATTGTGTTCTGTTTGTACTGCTCAGATTGTTAGTCTTGTGTTGAGCCACCCACAGGAGCATGATCAATCTACCAGGAATGCCATACACTTTACTATACATTTTCTCAAGATGCTTCCTTGTACTAAAATGTATTCTTGTAAATATATATAAAGGATATGCTATAAATTTTGCAGAATTCATAGTTCGTAGAGATCCATAGTTTTACAATGGAAGCTTTATTTATATTTAAATTGTTTGATAAATATATTACTTTAACTTCTTGGCCCTTTTCCATTATTTTTTCATTCCCCAATTTCCACCAATTTTATATAAAATGTGCAGTTACTACCAGTTAGCGTGTAGATCTATTCTTCTGTGCCTAAATAGTCTTTGTTCTTCTTCATCCAAGTATTTCTCATTGTCCATCCTTTTATTTTGCTCATGAAATAAGTGATGAGACACATATAGTATGTGTGACTTTTCTCTGAAGCTGTTTCTAATTGTCCACATTGTTTACTGTCATGGTTCTTCAGAGTTTATAGGGGTTCCGGTCTTCAGGAGATAGGCATAGAATTTATGTCAGAATCTGATTTTATATATTTATGTTTCTTAGAATTTGGATATTTTTATTTCATATATGTATATATATATGCACACACACCTCTTTTATGTCATTCTGCAGTATTTTTAGAGCGCAGAAATGTGAGAGGTAAGCTGTTATGCCTACTTTGTGATTTCCTGTTCGGTGAGAGAGTGCCAGGGTTCAGACTGCTTTCCCTTCCTAATGAACGGCCATGTGAGTCTGCGAGTGCTGCGCTGTTTTATGTAACTCCTGACCCTGTAGTGTCCTGATACTCGAGCAGCTAAATCCTCCTTTAGATAGAAAGGGAAGCAGTTGCACCCATGGGCAATTGAGCTTTTATTAATAAGCTGTTTGGCATCAAGGGTAGCACTGTGCTGTCCTGGTAAATGACCTTGCTGCTGTATGGTTTGTGTTTTGTTGTCAGGGTGCCCATTCCGTCACAGTGATGCAGAGCTGCTGAAGCAGAAGATGCAGTCCTACAAGATTCCTGCCTCGGGGATCAACCAGGTAGGTCCAGTTCTGCCCAGGATCCTCTGGTCCTGCAGCAGCTCTATCCTCTGGGATTTGTTTACAGAATGATGCTGTGTACTGTGTCAGGACTCACACCAGACTTCTGCCTTCTGGGTGAATTGATCCAACACCTTGACTTTTCAGGTTCTGAGTCCCTGGAAATTGCAGTTCTTCCATCTGCTCGGCTACAGTTTTATTTCCCTTGGTAATAAAAGAACATAGAAATTCCACCCCAACTTATTTTTCTCTGTCAGTTGAGGGCCTCACTTAAAAACATAAATGTTTAATGCATTGAGGTTTATTAATGAAGCTGAAATTTCATGACAGAGTCTTTCATTTTGGAAAATTGTTTTCTGAGAAAATAAAATATACTTTGAAGTCAATGACTGTTCTAGTAGGCTCAGTCGTCACTAGGTTTAATCTGTTTAAGTCTGATGGCAGCTTATTAGGTCTAGTACTTTTTCAAATACTTTGTTTTGTTAAGAATTTAACTAAAATGCATAAATTGTTAACTAAATATTTAAGAGAATGCATCTTTTAGTAAGACTATCCTTTAAAAAATACCATGGTGTTGTTAGAACCACTGTCCACAGTGCGATTCTGGCTTGCCTTGGGTTCTACAATAGCTGACTGAGCCTATCCTTCCTGGCCCCAGAAGAAGCTGGGACAGCAAAGTCATTGCACATTCTTTTAAAAAAGTTATTATTATTTTTTAATTTGAAGAACATCAATGTACTGGAAAAACCCTACTGTCTAATTGATTCAGCTTACCTTGTAAAGTTTTTAGGTACTTAGTCTAGTCAAAGTGAAGCAATGCTTAACAAAGGAAACTGTCTATAGCCAGTTGAGTCTGGAAAGCACTTTCTGCAAGAGCTGGTCACAGGATGAGGACTTAATAGAAAGTCATGAATTTGAATAATTTGAATCACAAATGCATAAGTTAAAGGCAGGAGTGTGTAAGGCCATTGACTTTCAAGTGAAAGGACCAGTACATGATCTGTGATGGGCAACTTAAGAGGTGCTTGGTTTGGGAGTTGAATTTTCGAAGTAAAGAATTTGAATGGCAAAGAGGAGGTGGTTTTACATTCAAATAGAGAAGCTAAGGCACGTTCTAGTTACAATTATGAGTTGGAAAGATCATAAGAACACTGAGGAGTCGTAGATGTGACATGCCACTAGTATATAACCAATTGGCAGGTAGTGATGCCTGAAGCAGAAGTCAGCTTTTCCAAGACCAGGGTGTTATGGGAGAAGCAGGGTGGAGTAAAAGCCAAAGCAGAATTCTGGCTAATGCTTACCAGAGGTTAAGAGGAAGTAGGATGAAGTCTGAACAGAAATGGGAACACAGGGAGGACACCATGAAGAAAATAAACTTTTGAATTTTAGGCATAGATGAGGGAAAAGAACTCCAAGTCAATGACATAGACCAGATCGTCAACAAGATCATAGAAGAAAATGTCCCCAAACTAAGGAAAGACACATTCACCCAGATATAAGAAATACTCAGAACACCAAATAGACAAAACCATAAAAGAAAATTCCCACATCGTTTCAGAGTTAAACACTAACTATATATAACAAAGAAAGTGTAGTGAAAAGTGCAAGGAAAAAAAACCAAGTCACATATAAAGTAAATCCATTAGAGCTACAGCTGACTTCTCATTGGAAACTTTGAAAGCTAGAAGATCCTGAAGGAATACATTCCAAGTCCTAAAAGACTTATGATGACCAACCTAGATTAATATACCCAGCAAAACTATCTGCCATAATTGAAGAAGAAATGCATTAAAAATATTCCATGACACAAGCACACACACACACACATACTCAATAAACCAAACCTAAAGAAAATTTAAGAAGCAGTATTTCAGGCTAAAGAGAGGAGTGAGGGTAGCAGAATAATTTTGAAAAGAAATATGAGGCTATAATTATTTTAAAAATACCGTTAATAACACAAAGCCACCAAAAATCAGCAACACAATGATGATCACACACACATACACATTTCAACAATAGCTTTAAATACTAGTGATCACAATTCTCCAGTCAAGACACAGGCAGATTGAATAGATTAAAAAATAAAACAAAAACAGAGTAATTTTGATTTACATATCCCTGATGACTAAGGATGTTGAGCAATTCCTTGAGTGTCTTTTGGCCATTTGAAATACTTCTGTTGAGAATTCTCTGTTTAGATCTGTACCCAATTTTTAATTGGACTATTTGATGTTTTAATGTCTAGTTTCTTGAGTTCTTATATATTTCGGAGATCAGTCCTCTGTCCAGTGTGGGGTTGGTGACGATTTTTTTCCATTGAGTTGGCTGCCTTTTTGTCTTATTGGCATGTCCTTTTCCTTATAGAAGTGTCTCAGTTTCAGGAGGTCTCATTTATTAATTTTTGCTCTCAGTATCTGTGCTACTGGTGTTGCATTTAGGAAGTGCTCTCTTGTGCCTATGCATTCAAGACTACTTCCCACTTTCTTTCCTATGAGGTTTAGTGTGGATGAATTTATGTTGAGATCTCTGATCCATTTGGACTTGAGTTTTGTGCATGGTGATAGATATGGATCTATTTTCATTCTTCTACATGTTGACATCCAGTTATGCCAGCACCATTTGTTAAAGCTTTCTTTTGTCCATTGTATAATTTTAGCTTCTTTGTCAAAAATAGCTGACCTGAGCTAGTGGGAGATCGCCATTTCTGGACTGATAGCAGGAGAACTTGCATCGGCCCTAACCTCACAGTTGTGTGGCTTAGGCAGTCTATAGGACCACTGGCAGTGGGACAGGATTTATCCCTAGTACTTGAACTGACTTTTTGGAGCTTATTTGTTTTGGAGGGATATTTTGCTCAGCTGAAATATAGGGAAGAGGACGTTGGTCCTGCCCCAAAGTGATGAGACAGATTTTTGTTGTTTCTCCATGGGAAGCCTCACCCTCTTTGAGGAGTGAATGGGGGTTGCGGCGGGGGAAAAATGGGTTGAGCGGGACAAAGGGAGGGAGTGGGACCTGGGATATGTATGTAAAATGAGAAAAGATTGCTTAAAATTAATTAATTAATTAAAACAAAACAAAATAAAACAAAACAAAAACTCCAGAATCTATTTACCTGTTGTCTACAAGAAACACACTTAGTTTTAAAGATAAGTACCTCCTTGGAGTAAATGATGTATAAGCTACTCCAAATGGGATCAGGAAGCAAGTAGGCACCACTATCCTAATATCTAAGAAAATAGACTCTAAACTATAACTAATCAAAAGAAATAAGGAGGGATATTTCATTGTATCAAGAGAAGGATTAATCAAAAGACATTACTGTCTTAAACATATATGCACCAAACTTGCCACACAGTTTTATAAAATATATACTACTGGATTTTTAAAAAAAACAGATTGACATCAATTCATTAATCATAAATGATTTCAATAACATGCTTTCTCCAATAGGCATATTATCTAGGTAGAAAATAAGCAGAGATACATTAATTAATTGATATCATGCATCAAATGGATTTAGCAGATATCTACAGAATATTCTACCCAAACACAATGAATATCCTACCTAGAAGCACATAGAACCTTTTCTAAAATAGACCACACAAAACAAATCTTTTTTTTTTCACTTTAAAAAGAGTGAAATCACTTCTTACATACTATATGGCTATGTTATAGTAAACTTAAAATTGAAAGCAAGCAAATATTTAATAACTTCATAAACTCATGGAGATTAAACAGCTTATTACTTATGATTGACTAATTAAACCTGTTTGGGTACCAGATATGGCTAGCTGGGTGACCAGCGTCTAGTCAACACCCAGAGTATGCAAAAATATTCATGAGTGTGATGAATGCTTAGAAAAAATTACTGATCTGATGGTTAGACTTTTTCTATTTGAGGGGGAAATAAGAAAACAGAGATACTTTATGATGGTAACTTCTCTTTATTTCACCTTGAAAAAAAATCATCTCTAAAAAATTTCTTTTTTCTTCCTTATTAGCTCTACATCCCTTCCCATTGCTGTCCTCAGCAGCTTCTCTCTAGTTGACTCTCTTCATCTCTCTCTCTCTCTGCACCCTTCCTCTGCTCTCCCTCAACACAACTGCCCTCCTCTCACAACCTAACTCTGGACATTTACATTTTACATGGACATTTACATGTTACATTACATTTACATATTACATTTTCGGGGCCTAACCTATTCTTGTAACACATCACTCATGTAGTTTCTTGTTAGGTTAGGGATGTCACATAGACTGGTCAATGAGTAACACTTGGCCGTTCACATAGCTCTTTCCCAGAAAATGACATTGGAATTCAAGACTTAGCAATAACAGTTAATTAGCTGGACCTTAAGTGGTAGGGAAGTATGTGCAGAAAGTCCTTTCCTACAGAGAGTTATGTCTGCTAAGGTTGCTTCAAGCTCTGACCTTGAATTAGCAAAACGCCTGGGAAAATGACCTCATGTATTTATCTCAAGGGGCAACCAGGTATTTGTTTCTTGGGGCAATCAGCATGCTTTGATTTTTTTCTGAAGTCTCAAATTAGCTGTCTGTGTAAAAGGCTGTCTTTGTGACTGAGAATACTAGTATTTCTATGTCAGTCTGAATAATGTAAAGTATTCTAGTATTATTTCTTTTTATCAGAATTATGCATTAAGCAGAAATCATCTTCCTGATCATCCACAGCTACATGTGTACTTAATAAATGAAATATATACATGAGATAAACATACAAGCAGTGGGAAAACACCCATGGCAGTTCTTAGGGAAGAAATGCTTGGAAAACTAGTGTAAGACAAGGAAATTAAATGGATATAATCAGGAAAGCTTTTTGTTTCTTTCTTGAGTTAGTCTTTGACCTAATTATCCAGTAGTATGTTGTTCACTTTCCATGAGTTTGTGTGTTTTCTATTACCATTGACATCCAGCCTTTTCCTTTTATGAAGGATATTATTTTATTTTTCCTGTCTCTTTGAGACTTATTTTGTGGTCTGTTT